TCAAATTTCAGCTGCTTCTGTGGTAACCCTGTTCAAAAGATTTCCCTCTGTCAATGAAGAAAGCATTATTGCTGGAAAAGATTGTACTCATGTTTACCCAACCCTAAATAAATAAATAAGTAAGTATTAAGCAAATACCAAGCACAAAAAAATTCAATCCATTCCCCTGAAACATGAAGGTTTTAGAAGTTTATCTGAATGTGAAAATGAAAGAACATAATGGAAACTGTGGAATATCATGCAATACCAGATTCCCATTACAGTAAAATGAAAAATATTCCTTCAGCTGCAGGGGCTATCAGTTTGCAAGTTCTCAGCAGTCCCAGCATGATTTTCTCAACTGCAATTCAATGTCATTAATCATTTGGGGGTGGGGGTGAAGGGGAGACTTTACTCAGCCAGTATCTAAGGCTTAAGTTTTTCCTTAGCCAGGATTCCTAGAAAAATCAAGAAGAAATATCCATCTATTCTGTTCCAACTTTCCCTTCTTGGCTTTCTTTCTCTCAGACTCTTCTGCTGTCCAACTGGCTGGGGCTTTTCCTACCCTGGACTCTAATTCCTCTATTCCCCCACCAAGGGTTCTCAGTGATGGCTGAAAAGCTTCTCTGAGGATCTAACCGCATTTGCCAAAATAAGGAACATCCCCAGACTAAGCCCTAGTCTCTTCCCCTGATGCCTGACGTTTTTTCTATCAGACTGTATACACACTATGTCTGGAATCAAAGAACTGGAATACAAATATTAGTTATTTTGCTCCAAATTCCCAGTGCTCTATAGTATATTCCTAAGCACTTGGAGACCTAGAATCTTTTTACCAGCCACATCTCCACATCTTCAGCCATAACCCCTGCACCCTCATGGAGTTCGTTACACAACTGGAGCCTAAGGCTTGAATGGGGCTCCAGGGAAACAAGGTGGTCTGCCCATGAAGCTCCAATTGCGAGATCAACAGCCTAAATAAGAACAGGATGCAACAGCAAAGTGTAGGACAGAGTGGATGGAAAGACAAAGGTGACAAATTAGCACATTACATCAAAACTGTACTATTTAAAGATTTTAAAACCTGGTTTATTTGTTAGACACAAAAATGAACTTTGTAAAAATCTTGAGTAGCAAAGGGATTGACAAGGGAGGTTTAGGCTGGACATTAGGAACAACTTCCTGTCAGGGTGATTAAGCACGGGAATAAATTGCCTAGGGAGGTTGTGGAGTCTCCATCATTGGAGATTTTTAAGAGCAGGTTAGATAAACACCTGTCAGAAATGGTCTAGATAATACTTAGTCCTGCCACGAGTGCAGGGGCCTGGACTAGATGACCTTTCGAAGTCCCTTCCAGTGCTATGATTCTGTGAAGATTTAATCAGGAGGAAGGAGAACAAGAGGAACAAGATTACTGGAACATAGAGCCCACTGGATGTCTATGGAATGCTATCTGAATAAGTAGCAGGCTGAGAAACAGACAGGAAGAAGAAAGTCTCTGAGAAAACGTAAGATCTATTTTATTCACTGAACTAAAACAAAAGTGCTCTTCTCTTCCTGAATGTTGTAGAGTGTGGTATGTTATGCAAACTGTTTCATTTGTTTTAATATGCTATTCTCTCTCTGGCTTTAATAAAGTTTGTTTTAATAAGGCTACATAAGTCTTAGAGTATTGCTTGGGAGATTTTTCATAGGCCATCCCAAAATAAGAAAACAACCCTCATTTGGAAGTCTTCCTCAAAAGGACACAGACCAAGGGTTCCTCTTTTCATAAGGTGTGTCATCAGGGCCGGCTCCAGGCACCAGCCCACCAAGCATGTGCTTGGGGCAGCGCCTGGAGGGGGGCGGCGCGGCGGGG